AATTTCTGACAAAAAAGAGGCCGTGTGTGTCTTATAAAGGGATTCAAAACGCCGCATTCAAAGAGGCGTGCGCGTTCGTTTGGTTTCACGCTGGATTGACGCGTTGGACTCAAGCAGAGGCCGCGGTGCGATTGATTCATATAAGTTCATTTAGTGGCCATGTTTTTGCACCGTTACTGCTCATTTCTGGGGTAAAGCATGAAAGAGGGAGCGATTTATTTATGTGAAATAGAGGTGGGCAGATGACAAGGCAAGCTCATAATATAGTGAATAAATACAGAGAATATATGTGATGTATTTGTGTGTTTAGAATAAAAAGGCATAAATGAGGAGGGGGGGCACACATTATACCAGAGACACTGTGAATGTTTCTGGAATACTGTCTGAATGTCATTATTAGAATCAATGTCTCACAACATTTGAATTCATGCCAATTATAAATACCACGTTAATATTTGGCTGCAACAGGATTTTCCCCTAACACTACTTGTCTAATTATCCAGAATAAAACAATAAAGTGAAACAACAGCGCTCTTATATTTACCTATAGTGACATTTGAAAATAATTGTTTTCCCTCTTTATTTGCGCAAAAATTGTAGCTAACCCTGCACTGCAAAATGAATTCGTCAAATTTGATAGATTGATAGATACATTCAATCTGGAAATTCAGGTGTCCATCAATCTATGCAAACATTATTACATGTACATTTCTCCATTGTGACATTAATAAAATATTATCTTTTCTCATATATGTAATTCTATAAGTGACTGACGTTAGTTGTAAAGCGCACATGTTTAACTCAGACAGATCCGTTATTCTCTTAAGGATCATTTTGGGAAGTCTACACACCACATCTGGATTATATACTTTGTTAATACAGCGGTGACAATGAGCAATGGAGTTTAAGTTAACCGATAAATCATAAATCATTTAATTCTTGAACTAATTTACTATCGAATACTTGTTTTTTTTTTATCAAGCATTCTTTGACATAACTGTACTGTGGTCACATGTATAAATAAATGTGCATTGGACTTTTGTGAATAAAACTGATGGATTATTCACAGTGTTTTAAAGAAGTGAAAGTAGAGGCTCTTTGAAAGGGTATAGAACAGGGGCCGTATTCCTAAAGATTCTTACTGCTAAAAGTTGCTCCTAGTGGCCAAATTCTAAGAATTTTCTTAGAATCTTGACCAACTCTTAGAATTTCCCCTAAAAGTGAGGAGTAGCTCCTAGTTAAGATAAAAGCTATTCGTAAAAAATCCTAGCTCTTAAGAGTGCTCTTAAGGGGAGATCCCTTAAGAGTTGAGAGGAGGACTTTTAGCGACTTAAAAGTTCCCTAAGAGCACAAAATGGTGGACGGTGGAGACAGGAGAAATATTCTATACACTGGATAACAGTGAATCAGTGAAACGCTACAGATTCAAGCAGGAATCATGTTTGTGGTATATTTAAAAGTCAATCATGTGACCAGCTTCTCATTGGCTGGTCAGCAATAACACCTCATCCATTTTACCTTTGTTACACAAAAGTAAGTAGAAATGGTAAAAGTTGAAAGAGAGGAAAAAGTGGTCCTAAATTGTCACACATTCAGTACGAATGAATGAATACTTTATTTTGAGCCATGGCAAACAAGAAAAAAAAGGACAAAACAAACAAAACAACAACAGAATAGAAGTACAAATATACAGTTTTGTTTTATTAACAACAATCCAGCTCAAAAAGGAGTGGGAGAGGATAAGACTTTTAAGCTCCCTTGTACTTGATTTGTACAGTGTATGTATAATATGTTTATATTAATATTGTTTCCTTAATTCCTTATAAGTCTATACATATCACAGCCTTTACTAATCCTAACGTTATCATTATCATCATTTATCCATATAATATTTATAATAATAATTTTCTTTATCATGTATATTATATATAGAGTAATATTTAAATTATATGTATATATATATAAAATTATAAGTGCTCATGATATATACGTATTATGTGTGATAAATTGGTGCTGAGCAAGCTCTGATGATGGTGTATAAGTCTAACTTTACTATTCACAGTATTTATGTACCATTGATATATCTGACTTTATAGCTTTTGGTTATTATTTACAATAACACAGTGTTCCTAAGATTAGATTCCATGATTGAGTTTGTCCATTTTAGGGCCCTTATTTTGCCTATTATCATCAAAAATATGTTTGTTCTAACTTTTAGGATCAACCAATCACAGCGTCTGAAATGATGACTCATACCTAGCAACGGGGTCGGCCACGCCTCCTCACTAAGATAAAAGTTGTTGTCAATTCCTTGCTCAAGAGTTCTCTAAGAGTGTTCTGGAATAACTTTTAAGCTAAGACTCCTAGCTAGGAGTTTTTAGGTTAAGATAAGAGCTCTCTGAGAGGACTCTCAGAATCTTTAGGAATACGGCCCCAGGTGTCTACAAACTTTTTCACCCAGAGAGCTACTTTCCCGGGATGATAAAGGCAGAGAGCTACTCCTTCAAGCAGCCCTGGGAAAAATGTGGCGATATACAGTATTGGTGTGAACGATCCTGATTTTGGGTACATTCATTATTTATCATTGCAGATTTGTTACTCGTGACAAAGTAAGCAATAAACTATGATAACAAATAATACAATCTGAAAAATTAAGTGTATTATTTAATTTTTTGATTTCTAAATTCTTTGGCGAGCTACCTGTAAGAGGGTGGCGAGCTACTGATGACTCCTGAGCTACAGGTTGGAGACGACTGCTATAGAGAGTGTATTATAGGTATTTCCAGCCCGTATTTCTAGTCTTATAACTTCAGTCTATTGTTGAAAAAAAAAAAGTAGGTATTTGGCGCTAGTGTTATGAGGCCAAACCTGTGCAACGGAACTCACAGTTCTGGCCTTGACTAAGGCCCTGTCCACACGAAGTCAAGCTCAGGCCTAAACGCAAAAATACTTTATCAATCCAGTGTATCGTCCATACGAGGCCGGCGTTTTGGGGGGGTGTAAACGAACATTTTTGAAACCAGGTCCCAGAGTGGAAAGATTTCAAAACTCCGTATATGCCGCTCCGTGGTTACTGCCTCTCCGAATGTATCTGAGACGCTTGCGTCATCGCCCCGCCTCTTGTTAAAGCACGCATGCGCCTCACTCAGAAAATAATGACAACAACAATGTAGCTTGTTGGTTTTGTAATCCAGTGTGACCCGAAGCAACAGTTCAACCTCATCGTCCGTCCATACTAATGTAGTACCAGCTCGCCCACTCGCCATGTTGTCTGTTTACAAAATTCCGCGCATGCCCACGGAAGTTTGGGCTTGATCCCGTCATTGCGTCACAGCGCCACCAACAGGTCTGGCATAGTTTCACAGCGTTTTCAGGCGTATTGACTACATTCATATGGACGCACACATTTACTGAGCTAACTCCGTGTTTACAGAAAAAGTTTCTGAAATTATAAGCGTTTTGTCTTCGTGTGGATATAGTCTAAGAACAATGTGTCCAACTTGTTATCATTAACCCGAGCAAATGCACAACAAGATCCCAGTATAGTGCTACAGTGTATCAGGCTATGGTTCGGGTTCAAATGTGTCATGCTATTTGTTTTAAGTTGGTTTGAGATTGAATCTGTCTAGCTGTGCATACAACTGAGGGTTCTAATCTTCACTCGTTTTAATGCACTGTGATTATGTACGATTTCAATGCCTTGTGTGATTTTAACGTTTTCTTTCTTGTTTGGTGTGGAATCTAACCAGTATGTTTTAGACCGAGCGAGGACAAACATGCGATGAATTTAAGGCCATGCAGACCTTGGTCATAGTTGGATTGTCTGTACTCAGTGTTAGTAACTCAAGGATGGTCTGGCGTCTCTGTTCTGACATATTTCTGATGCACGTTAAGATAAGAGTTCCTTTATTTGTCCCACAGTGGGGAAATTTCGATGTTGCAGCGCACAGGCAGGACAGTAGTAAGAGCACACAGGGAGCACACAAAATATACAAAAAAGTAGTAGCTATATTACTTAACTATCTGTAAATGCTGTAAATTCACCGATACCAGTCTTTCAAAGTTGCCACAGGTCATACATAAGGCTTTGTTTTCTTCTGTCTGGGAAATAAATAAATAATTGCAAGTACGTGAGATCACAGCTGCCTCTGTCATTTTTGTCTACACTTGTTTAGCACTTTGAGTTGCCTTGTGCATTGACTGTGCTACACAAAAAAACTTGCCTCGCCACCTTCTAATTAGCAAAAGCCCCAGTCTCTGACATGGGCACCAGGCACAAAAGCAGCACGTGTTTATATAGCTGTAGATCAATAACATGGACACAGATCAAAAGCCTGTGACGGTATTGATTCTACCGGGGCCTTGTGTGTTCTAACTCTCTGCTATAGGGAGACGCCGGGCGCATTTCCATCTCGTTAGTCAGCATGTTTGTCCGACAAAACACATTCGACAATAGCACATAATTAATACTCTTCTCATTCATGCAGGAATTGGCAAACAATGCAACGAAGCACAATGGAGCTCTGTGGGCTTTGAGAGACACATGTAAATTTGTATGTTTGATCGTTGAGTGAGGGCCCTGCTCTGTCACGCCGACGGCAGACGGAGAGAGAGATAGTCGCGCTGAATGGCAATAAAAATAGAATTACGTTTTTTAATTACCGTCGCTGCAATTATGTTTGTGATTTATATTTTCAAAGATTTTGTTCATTCATATTGCAATGTGTTGATTAACATAGGGATGGGTGGGGTTTAATTAGCTTTGGCTCCTTCCTACTGCTTTTGAATATGAATAAGTGTTAAGTCTTGTTGACATTTTTTATTTTTGTCGTCTTGTATTTATTGTCGTTTATTTTTTGTTCTTATCATGTTGTTTTTTACTTCATGTTCAAATAAACTTTTTATCAAACCATCTTTAGGACACGGTAAGAAGCATCTATATCTGAGAGAGGAACGGCTAAACTAGACAAGTGCATTTCGAAACTTGTTGCTGGAGGTCTATGGGGTAAGCTACACACGCAAAAGGACTAAACAATCAGATGTTTGCGATATTGTTGTGAATAGTAGCAAAAATATCTCCTTGTGTGTTGCGCAGACTGCGAGGAGCAAGCATGGAGGTAATATTCTGTATGTACTCGAACGGGATTCCGCATCCTCTGCTGCCGCCGCCTTAACATGGCCATAATGCGACCAGCGCAGACCAGACGCAGACCAGACGCAGACAGGAGCAAGTGCGTGTCTTTACCTGTGCACGCAATAAATATGCAGCTCGTGCCCATGTGTCTCCTCCTGAATCACTGAAACTAAAACTCACGAAATTACTCACAGGTTTTAATAAAGATCAAATTGTCATTTGTTGAGTTTGTTTCAATGTCTTCCGGTCTTTCACATGGTCTATTTGCCGTTTTTATGACGTCTGGCAAGTGGAAAAAATCACAATATTATCCTTTATCTCAAGCTGTTATCAGTTTGAACAGAGCACTTTAATGATTTGCACTTGTTTTGAAACTGTTTTAGTCTATCGATTTCACAGTGACACTTGTTTACTGTTTTATTTGTTTTATTTCTGTCTTTTAATGTTGTTTTATGTCTGTATTTGTCTGTGCACACTGGAGACTTTTTGCTAATGTATTCCAATGTGGTTTTTTTTTTACTGCAAATGGCAAATAAACTGAATCTGAAACATTTCTGGGACAATTTACCGTCAAAGAAAATGTGTTATCGTGACAGGTCTATAAGAATCTGACTTGTTTTTAGGCACTTCTACCATCAAACTGCATCTCAACCATTTTGTAAAGGCCTATAATAAAATGAAAATAGGGGTTTGTAAAAAAACATATAAACATAAAAAAAACATAAACAATTCATTTTGGTCATTAGTTTCCTACATCCTAGAAAATGCAAAAAAATAAATAAAATACATTGTTTTCTCCAAGGACTGAATGTTCAAGTTACAAACTGATCTAAATGTGTATTTGATTATAGCGATACGGCCTTGTAGAGGAGCAGCGTGTTTTCCGATGGCTGCCCGGGACAACAGCTCTCCAAACATGTTTAGTGCCATGATGAGGATGGAGACTCCTCTTGATGCGGTTTGAGGGATGTAATTACAGAAGAGATGCACAGCCAGACCTCGCACTGATTAGAGGCTGAGGGGGAGAAGGGGATAATGATTATGTACGGACAGGTGACATTTCCTCTCAATACAGCGGCTTAAAGTCTTATTGGGTAAACACAGACAATGGGAGGGTACTGAGAGTGCATCTGAGGCATGTGTTTACACCCTTATTGGTTTGGGTCTGATGTGACATGTGACTTGATCCTACTCCAGTCTAGGTTTGATGATTTTCTCTTCATATCAAAAACAAAATCACAACATTGTTTATTTAACAAGAGTAAATTGGAATGGGTTGACATTTTAAATCTGTACAGGGGGAAAAAAGGGATGAAAAATGGTCTCATGGAAAATTCTGGTCCATTCATTCACTGTCCACTGTCTTTGTCAAATGAACAAATAAATAAATAAATGCTAAATAAAAAACAAAACAGAACAGTCACCGGCAAAAAGGAAAACAAAGGTGTGGTGAAGTGAAGTCTATGTTTTGATGTGGCGCTGACACTGCTTTAGACCGTGCTGAATAATAAACTGTAGTTAATCTGTTAATAGTAGCTAATAAATTATTCAAATCGTTAGTAATTAATTTAGTAACCAATTAATAGTTTCCAAGTATTTCAAACCAATCGATGTGTAACAAGTCATCTCTATGAAGATGTTTTCCAAGGGTATCTCTTGAGCTTTGTATTGCTCAAATGTATTTAAGAATCGTACATTTACTGACCTTTCGGGATGTAAATACTAAAAAAACAAAAAGTTAATTATGGCCCTAATAAACTGAAAAGGATTAAGGAAGTGACCGGGTAATATTGAATGTTTGTGTGTTTTTTGTCTCTTTTGTTTTATATGGACCCTTTGTGTGTCTGAATTAAAGATTAAATAACAAAAAAATTATAATAATAATAAATTAAGATGTTGAAAAAGTGACTCAATAAGTGTTAAACGTCAACCCAGTTTTTTTCAAGCAGCTGTTTATTTTACAATCAGCGTTATTACGGCCACTGTTATTCTTGTAAATAGTGCAAATCCTTTTTTAAGTGTAAATTTACTAACCATCTTTCCTCCTGTCAAATTGAACAAAGCTGATGTGGCTATTAATGTGACCAGAACCATTTGCTGCATTCACAAATATGTTTTTCTTCAGCCTTTTTCACAGTTTAATCTCTAGTGCTTTATTCTTTGCCCGGCAAGCAATGAGATGGAATGGTCTTGTTACATAAGAAGAGAAATATGAAACCAAAAAACGAATATGAATAATCCCCTTGTACTTAATCTACAAACATGCTCTGATACTGCATGCTTGGATTCGTCTGAGTCTTTTATGTAAAGCAATTTCTCCTGACAGATTTTTCTAACTGTTGAATTAATCTTGCTTGTTAAACCGAAACCTCACTCTGCCCCATTTCTCTGCCTGTTCATACACAATGATGGCAAAAGCGAACAGTTTCCCAGTCTGTCACAAACTATGCAAACATTACGGACTATTCTGCAGCGTCCTCGGAGTGGAAAACCCAAACTGAAAGTGGAAAATAACCACCACCACCAGCAGTGTTTTCATCCAAAGCTAAACAAAAGCAAACTCAAGAATGACTTCAGAGCTGTCTAGACTCCTCTCTGCAGAAGCTTTGTTACATGTGGCTCGGTCTTGCTTATACCAGCTCCTCTTGCAGTGTCTGTCAGCCGGCACATATGGCAACTCCAATATTTTGCACATGTTACATCAGTTTCACCATCCCAGACACAGCCATGCATCTTTTATACAACTGCTGCCTTTTAACAAGACTTCTAGACCACACGGCAACCACCTGCCAAACAAGACCAAGATAGACACATTCTCAAGGCCAGCAGAATTCAACTTTTCACTTCCCAAAACGGATGCCTTTTTCCCTAGTATTAAAGGTGGGATTAGGCAGAAATTTGACGATTCGATGGGAACACGATATTTGAGCCACAATTCAATACTGTTGAGATTCTTAACATATTGTGATACAGCAGGTATTGTGATTTGATTCTGTGATATATTGTGATCCATATCCCTCATATTATTCAAAGACATTATACAAATTGAGGAAAATAAGACTGCTCAACTCAAAATTCACATATATTGTCTTCTTAATCTTAATCTTTATTTTTTTATTTATATAGGGCACTTTTGCAGACCAAGGTCACCCAAAGCGCTTTACAATGTTCAGAGTTCAGATATTGTTCCATTCTCTCCACACACGGTGATGACAGAAGCGAGCTCGAGCCGCCGAACACACTGGAGCATCAAAGCCAAACTCTACACAGACAGGCCCTGTTCTGACCATGGGATTTGAACCCAGGACCTTCTTGCCAGTCATTATGGTCTGCACATTAACTGAAGTGCAAAAACATAGGAGGGTAGTGGAAAAACGTTATCCTTGAACGTTCAGGATACAGGACCTTATTACAGGACAACACATACTGAATTATAAGCTCCCAGCACTTAAATTATTCAAATACAATAGAGTAGAGTAACAAAAAGCAGACATAATAGAGTAACATAAACCTCAGATGTAAAATACCAGAGTAAACTCAGGGAAAACACAAAAGTGAAACAGTGAAACTATACTGTATGGATTCAATTACGTGCACAAAATATCACGATACTGAACAGAATCGACCCCTCCTCTACCACTACCCATGCTTTATCTTTTCTAAGCAGCTCATTTAAATGCATGTGACTTAGTGAGTGGGGTTTTCATAGTGACACAAAGTAGAAGGAGTTCGAACAGCAGAGGAGAGAGCGTGGATGTGCGAGGGATGGTGTGGGAGAGACATGAAGTAGCAGCCCAGAGGGGGTGAGAGACGGAGTCGGGCACCACGCTAGAACATGTTTTATGATATTAGGTTAATGTTACACCGTGCAATTGATGTAAAGTATGTGCAAGACCGTAGCGCCTTAAAGAAACCTATTTTGACAGCATTAAACATGACGCTGGTTTTAATAGCACCATAATAATCACACACCTTCATTAAAGCTGCTGGTGGAAAATATTACACACACAGTAATTTAACAGTCAAGGATCACTGTCACAAGTTGATCCTGGTTTCATAATCTTATTTCAGACGTGTCGAAATCCTTCTGGTCGAGGACTTGAGGTTGATGATATTTTGACAAAGGATTGCTTTTATTTAACATGAGTTTGGATATAACCATACATTATTATCTGGTAGATTTTGCTTAACATAATGAGAGTTCAGTTACTTTTTGGATGGACTTAAAGTTACCCGAAGTCACCATAAACTCTGTAGACCGATAGGCTAATCATAAAAAAACTGAATTCTGATTATACACATTGACAATATTACATGGTTGTTTCTTGAGCAAACAAGCTATAAAATGATATTACATTTAACATTCCATGGTACCTTTTACCATCAAGTTTATCATAATATTTGAAAATAGCGTCAGGGACCACAACAAAGGGTCTGTCGGGCCGCATTTGGCTCCCAGGCCTCGTGTTTGACGCCTGTGCCTTACACTAAACTCGAAACCGAATCCTAGTCTTGTTACTAACCATAGTGAACGCTAGCCCTAACCGCTAACCCTACTCTCGCCCTCACCCAATGAAACATGGATCCTGGGCTGTTGTATACTTGGTGAGATCAGATCATGTAAAATTCACATGATCCCATTGTTGGCCATAGAAACACTTACACCAGGAAACTATGAGTCAGGCGCAAGTCCTCTCTCTGTAAATGTATCACAAACATCCAAGTGAAAAATGTCATGTTGTTGTAGCATAATTTTTGTTTAAAATATTGCACAGCCTTTCTGAGCGTCAGTAATAAACACGGACCACTGTGTTTGCTCAGCTGACCACCTGCCAAGACAATAAGTGCTGCACTGTGTGTGTGAGCAGACAGCGCCTTGTTGAGGGATGGCATAGTTGACCTATTTTTTCAGGTAAAATATGAGCTGAGTTTTACGTGTGTTGCTTTAGTTTAGATGAATGGATACAGCTTTTTGCGCAGTTTCTCAATGTTAATTATTTGGGTTTGTGTAGGACTCAATTAAGACCTAGTAAAGCGGTTGGTAATTGCTTTTTTCCTGGTTAATATGTCTTTGTTTGGGGAAAAGGGGAATGGACTCTGTAGATTTAAAAGCTTCTGAGAAATGTTGTTTGTTTTGCCCTTAATACAACATCTGGGACATGTTCATACCTAATTAAATCCATGGCAAGAAAGGACTGGTATACTACACAATTAAGACAAAAATGCAATACACATTTATGACAGAATTCTGGGCCAAAACGGACTACACCTTGAAACCTGGTCTTAAAGATGAAGTATTTGAGTTGGAAATGTGTTTAATTGGACACCTTTAATTATTCACAACTCTGTCTATGACCATCCTGGAAGAAACATAAATGCTGAGAGTAACGACAGTCCCACCTTGAGGCGCTGTCTGAAAGCTGTTCAAAAGCCATTTCCACAAAAAAAAAACATGTGTGATAATAATGTGATGTGTCCAAGGGTTGGTAGAAAGTTCTATGTTAAATATAAATACCTGCTCGCTCTTTTACATGGTTTCCAAACAATCCAATGCGGCCAAAGAATAATGGAACTATTTTTTCCAATGTAAAATAATACTGAATTCAAATATAAAATAAGATATTTCTGTATTCGTCGCGCAGTGGAGAAATTTCAGAGTCATCGTTGCACACATTACAACAGAGAAAGATGGTATTTTCAATTATCTATTTGATACAACACAGAGGCCCCCTGCTTGATCAAAAATATTTCTCAGGGTTCCCCGATAAAAAATCATACTCTATTCTGTAGAAAATGTCAGGCTTTTCTTTTGGAATATAAATGAAAAAATTAATGAACCTTGGCTCTGAAAGGTCCTGGAGTGGCCTACCCAGTCTACAGATCTGAACCCCATAGAAAATCTTTGGAAAAATCTGTGCTGTCCAACGACAGCCCCAAAACATCACCGCTCTAGAAGAGAACTGCATGGAGTAATGGGCCAAAATACCATCAAATGTTGTGAAGACTTACAGAAAATGTTTCACCTCTGTCATTGCCGACAGTATGACATGTGCATATTAAAATGGACAATTGTTATTGACTAAAGACTTATATTATGGGGCGACAGTAGCTCAGTTGGTAGAGCATTGGCCTTAAGGCCAGAAGGTCGTGGGTTCAATTCCCACCTCTGCACCTTCTCCACCGACTCCCACTGATGACTGCTGTCGTTGTGTCCTTGGGCAAGACACTTAACCCCACTTTGCCCAAAGCCCCCACTGAAAGATCAAGGCTATGCTCACAGTCAGAGAGCAGCCGTCCTCCTGTGGACTCACCACCTGCAGAGGGTCAGTGAGGGGCTGGTGCTATGAGACTTGGGTGGCATCTCTGACTGCCACCCCCCTGACCCAGAAATGGATTAAAGGGTAGAAGATGGATGGATGGACTTATTTTACACCATAATTTGAAAAAAAATTCTGTATAAAAAGACATAGTTGTTAATTTGATTTTTTCATTTTGTCTCTCGCAGCTGAGGTTTACCTACAGTATGATTAAAATAGCAGGCATCTCTTTCAATCCTCTATGATATGCAAATTAGATTAGTACATTTAATTCCTACTTCAACTTTGGGCCATGCTTAATATTTCACTTATTTACAGACAGACTACCTCTTATCATTTTTAAGCCTTTGAAATTAAGATGTCAAAAACTTAAAGGGTTAAGTAGGAGGACAACTGGGAGCAAACTAAATATTTTGCCCCTCTGTATGTCAAAATGAATGTAGTGATTTTATACAAATATTCATAGATTTGATTTGATTCTCATTTTAGTGTTTCTGAGGACCCGCAGTGGGCCCCACACTCTACTTTGGGAAGCACTGGGCTGTTCTATGCTTAAGTTACATTTTCATTGCTTGCACATTTTATCCCCATTGCAATATCGCTGCTTGGACAAGCCCTGACATAAAGCTGCCCATCTCCCCTGTCCCCCTCAGCCTTTCTCTGCAGAGTGCTATTGACTTCGCCGCTCGATGTGGCTATTTCCATTTGCTCCAGCAGGAAAGAGCAGACAAAGCAAATGGCAAGTAGATCTCCCTTTGACCACGACTCAGAGCAGAGGACAGAGCCAGGGAATGCATTACTGTCGGTGAACCTTTTCCGACGTATGGGTTAAACGGACGTTGATGTATTCAATAGATACGCACGTACTTGAATAAACTAGTGCAAAACAAAAAAAAATGCACTAGCCTGGTCGTACCACACCATAGTACAAATTACATTTCATACAAAGGTCTGGAGGTGCTCCATTGATCCAAAGATTGGATCCTTGGTCTTTCAGCGGGGGCGGGGGCTTCAGGTAAAGTGGGGTTAAGTGTCTTGCCCAGGGAGACAACGACAGCAGACATCAATGGGAGGCAGATGAACTGAGCCACTCTCGCCCAGTCCTAATGTATTGTTTTAAATTGAAAGTCCCCTTGTAACGAGATGGAATAAGCAGGATTTGAAGGATTCCCAGTCCTAGTCCCTGGTGCGCACTGGGTATATTTGCTTTTTGCACAAATATTCTGACTGCAAATGGCAAATAAACTATTACGCAACATGTGAATAAAATAACAATAAATCAAATGTGGTCACCTCTCCTACATCACTGCAATACATTAACATAATATGCAGGCAGCACAGACAGGACTGGGCTCCGGCAGGCCCTCTGAGCTCAGCTGTGTGGAATGGGGCCACTTTGAAGTACTTAAAACCATCCTCCTGTCCTCCCCGCGGGACGCCTGCTATGGCAACAACAACGGCTACACCACTACACGTTTATGCGCTCGCACCTCGCCCACCTCTGACCAGGGCCGCTGTAAATCGCCTTGTTGTGTTTGCGGCGGCGTAAACGCAACACAAACAAACAGACACCGAGCGATGCGGATCATGTGGAGAAATACACCGCACTGATTAGAGCGAAATTAGAGTCACAACCAGAAGCGGAGACAGAGAAACACCCTGGGAATAACAGCAAGTGAGAGACGGTCTGACGAGGAGCAGGTAAGACAGGCTTAATGGTAAGAGCCAGATGGTTGTCGCCATAGAAACATCTGGGTAGGAGGAGGAGGAGGAGGGTGGGGGGCAAGGTAGTGGAAAATATATCTGTACTTCTATAGTTGCAAGGCTTCATGAAGGCTGAGGAACCTAATTTTCAAACCACAAAAAAATCCATCGCACTCATTTTCATATGCTTGTATTTTTGGCCTGTCACATCAGATTTTTCAGACAGAAAAGCGAAAAAAAGAGAGGACCACCCTCATTCAGCCAATCAGATCTCAGCCCAAAGAATCCAATAAGGACAAGTCTTTCTTACATATTTGATGATTTGTTAACCACATTTTGTATTTATTAGACTTTATCTGTGGGGACAAACATGTATAATTTATGGGGCAAGACACTCCCACGATATCTTAACTCCTCTTGTATAATTCAAACTCTGTATTTTTATAACATGGCTATAATGATGCAGGAGTTCAAGATTAAGATTTAGATTAAGAAATCCTTTATTTGTCCCACAGTCGGGAAATTTCAGTGTTGCATCACAAGTAACAGACAGTGGGAATGAGGAGCCCACAAGATAAATAGCTCTATGCTAAAAAAGAATAAAATAAAATCTTTAACGCTAGCATACAAAGAAGAAGTATATAATCTCTATCTTTAGCATTATAAGGAAAGAAGTCTTAAAATCTCCAACTTTAGCATGAAGCAAGATTTAAGTACAAAAAACCCTGACTTTTGCTGTATATTCAAGTGCAAGTGTTCACAAACTTTCAAGTCCCTAAGTCTGAAATGTATCTTGCAAAGCCACAGCAGCTTTGTGCTTATCGCCAACACTGCTGAGTCACTGCTGTGTCTTTGCAAAACAAACTATATGCAAAACGTCAATCAATTCCAAACTTTAAAGAAATTAGGCCTTGTACTAAAACAAATTTCAGTATGAAATTAAGTGTTTGTGACAACTCTAAACAATGGGTTTGTGATATTTTTATACATGTTTATACATGGCGAAAGCTATTTATGCGTTGAAGATTTGGATGTTTAGAGACCAATTCAGGTTGACAATAAGAGAGGAGAAGGGAATAAGGGATATTTGCCTTTTCACGGTTCGACTGTACATTACAGCCTGGTACAGATTTCCTGAAGCAACCTCAGCTCCTAGACTTGATCTGCAGCTCTTGAAAGACTTGGATGCCTACAAGACCCAGCATCCTGAGATCTCGAAAATTGCTGTGAAGAAGTTACAAGGGCATCTCTGGTACCTATCAGAGGAACTTGTTGCTTTAGCTTTTTTTGATGATGAGGTTCGCCCTGAGACGAAGGTCAAGATGGTCCAAGCATTGAACAATGTTTCAGATCAGATACCTATGAAACGGGCTACTGTGGACTGCTCAGTTATCCAAGAAAAGAAGCTGGAGGACTTTGTCACGTTTAATACACGAACATTTTTCAGCATCACAGGACTTCCATCACACTTTCTTCAAAACAGTGTGAGCGAATGGGAACAGGATGATGAGTTCAAGACTATAAAGTCCACTGTTCGAAGCATGAAGGTTGTCAACGACATTGCAGAACGTGGCGTAGCACTAATGGACGAATATAATAGACTACATACAAACAACGAAGAGCAAAAGCAGTTCCTGTTGTTGGTAGTTCACAAATATAGACAGAAATATCCTGACAGAAAAAGACAACTCTCATGAGCGATTAATCTTAGTACAGTAACTATTGTCCTAAATAAACCTACAATCGAAGTAAAAAAGCATGTTAATTCTGTCTTTTAATAAATAAGTAGAAATGCAATGACAGAAAATGGAATATTTTTAATGCATGTAACAAGTAAATAAATGTGTACCAAGTAAATGAGTCATTATCACCAGTCTCCATCAGTTTTATGATTTTTTTTCCTATGTTAATGACTACGAGCGCATAGTAAAATATGCCTTAAATTTCAATGACTGGTAGCACCCAGTAAAAATGTTTTTTTCCCCTTGAAATTTTTACACATTTATTTTCTCACCAAAATGAACCATTTCAGTGGGTGGCCCACTGAAAAACATTTTTTTTTTTTTTAACCCCAAATAAGAAGCACCCTAATGTTTATCTAAGAAATCATTTTAGAAAGTGAAACCCCAAAGAGTTGAGATACTTCACTCCATATGCTGTGTCAAGGCTTCTTCTAAAAAAGAATCCAATGCAGAGCGAAATGGACCAAATAGAAACTTGGTTCGATTCCACCTTCAGGCGAGGTTTTCTATACAAAGTTTGGACGTGTGTAAATTTCCTCCAGGTGCTCCAGTTTCCCCTGCCACTAAAAACTTGTAAAAAAGTCCTGGCACGCGCCTTCTGTCTGGTGACCCTGCTTCCACCATAGTGTGTGAGTGAGAGGACAAATGGCCACAATTGTAAAGGGCTTTGTGACTAGTGCTGGCCTGCCCGACCCACCTGGGAGATGCTTCAGTCCTGCACCGGACCTGTCCACGGTCTGTAGCTTAGGTCCTGGATCTATAGCCCCTGGGAGCGGATCCCTCTCTCAATATGGATCTCCCTGAGGATTCTCACTTTTCTCATTACTGCTGTGATTTAGGGCTGTGCAAGAATAAATTGTATTGTATTGTATTGTACTTGTGGACTGGTCTCCCCCCATCCCCAGGAGCTTCCTCAGTCTTGCACCTCATTTATTTTAACAGCCGCATCAAATCAGTCACATCAGCAACATTTGTAACATCTGAAAAACATTGCCAGATTCAAACATATAGTGTCTAAAAGAGACTCTGATTCTAATCCATCCATTTGTCTTCAGTGACGGCCTGATCACTGGGCTCTCACTCCTCTCCCCCACCCCCCCCCCCCAAGATACTTACTAAACCGATATAAATTTAGATGTATACAGCCTCGTTCTACAGCCTGAGTCCTGGATCTACAGCCTGTCTGTCTGTGGGAGCAGATCTTCCCGCCGGTGAAGTAGGGTCTAAGGACAGCTTTAGTCTGTATCAATTGTAAATAATGAGATATACGCAGCCACATAAACATCCACCTAAATCATTCTGCTTCTAAAACTGTCACTTACTGTCATTCCAAGGGTTTTACAATCATACTCTGACCTGAATATTCACCATTTTTGATTCATCTAATAATATTGACACCCCTGGTCCTGTACATGGCTCTCTAACAAGCCCCCAGCAGAGGTCAATACTAACCATACCCTCTAATTCCCGCCCAGAGGCACACGCCACAAATCGGACTCAAATCTAATTTCGCCAGGGGCACTTTTGGGGGTCTGTCAGCGCAGGCCCGACTCCAGCCCAGGTAATCTCCCCCTGCATCGACATAATGGCTGCAGCCGCTGTAATGGAGGTCATTTAGTGCCACGGTTAGGCGTAGAGTAGGGCTTACCAATCCTTAAGTTACATTTTAGCAGCAATTTGGGGATATTTACGCCCTTTTCCGTCAATCCCAGCGGCCGCCCCGTCACAGGACCCCTGAAGTAGCACTCAAACGGCCCCTGGAGAGGAGGGATTTGGGGGGTGGGAGTGGGGGGGGTGGGAGTGGGGGGGGATCATCTTCGTGTGTTTTGAACGTGGGAGTGGAGAGAGCGGTTTATGGTCGGCCCGGGGCATTGGGTGATTTGAATTTGACACACAGCAAATCTTGAGCTCTTTTAAGTCTCTCGCTTCTCCCTCGTTTCACCGTCTTTTTTTTCTTCTTCTTCGTTTCATTCGGGACGAGGAAGTAATTAACGGACACTCAAAATCCCTGGTTGGATTTGGTGGACAGAATAGAGCGGTGGGAGAGAGAGGCGGCCTCGTAATGCTCGGTTCCCCTCTGTCCTCTGAAGGTTAATGCTGCCACTTGGAAACTAATTTTGTCACAGAGTATTTGTGGATGGGTTTGGTTTGGGGAAATCTCTCGTCAACACTGTTTCCGCTGCGGTAAGGGTAAAGCTGCGAATGCATGTTAACATTTCAATCAAGGCTCAAAGTCATATTATTATTGTGTCAAAGCCAAAACAACATCTTTTTCATTAGAAAGAATCAGATTTGCACATTTAGGATTAAAGCTAATGGTTTGCTACTTATTATAATGCACAATACATTAGCATTGCTTCTTTCTTCTTTATTATGCTTATGGTAGAAATTTTATACTTCTTTGTCCATTATCTTAAATATTAATTTGATGCATGCAATCTGAGTGCTCTTATTTCCTTCTTTCTCTGCTGTAATGTGCGCAACGATGACACTGACACTCGTCTCCACTGTGAGACGATTAATGGAATATCTTATCCCATCTTATTATGCTAAAGCAAAAGATTTTACACTTTTTTGTGCTGAAGCTAGACATTGAATTTTACGTTAGTTCATTATAAGTGAACAATAACAATGACTCCTGTTCTGTAACGGATGATGCAACACTGACATTTTCCCCACCTTGAGATATCTTAATCTAGTGTTGGTCGTTGTTATAGATTTGAAAGCGCTCGGGCTGTAATTGTAAATACAGTGTGTCTATAAATGCACCTAGCGCTTTCATAAGACACAGGGCAAAATTGGATCAATGTTATAATGGATTTCTATGTCTCATTAAGTATTTATAAAGAAATCACTGTATTTTAATGTGTACGCTGATTACCGAACCCATTACCACTCTCAAAATAACAACCCGATAGTAGCTCGCCCTTTTATCTGCTGGAAAACGGCCACAATCCAATAACATCTCAGCCATAAAACACAAGACGTTTACGGTGACATGACAGCGGCGACGTTTGACCCTTTGAGCTCAAGATGAAACAAAACCGCACTGATCTCCACAGGATGTAACGATTCCAGAGCCATGCATCAACTTCCTGTTGACATTTCTCCCCTCGACAACAGGAAGTCAATAACGACTTCATTACTGTCCCCTGCTTTTTACGC